GGCTGGGACAAGTGGCCCAAGTGGATTCAGGAAGATCTAAGTTGCCAACTCTCTGAATGACTTTTAGAGATCCCAATCTGAAAGACAATACTCAAGAGCTGAGGAAAATCATTAAGCTTCCCACAGCATCAGAAAACAATCCTATGTAATAGCTGGTACAGGAGACTTTTGTCAGAGGTATTCTAAGTATGGGAAATATTCTATAGTTTTTGTGAGTCTCTTTCTAAAAAGCTAATTTTTTTCCAAATTTCAGTCATCTGAAAATTAACATATTTCTTTGTTAAAAAAGATACACAGGCCATGAAAATCTTGATGAGACTCTGAGTCTGTTTCTTCATAAGACTCAAAATCAGCTTGAGTCAAGTGTCAAGAACAGGGCAAGAATTTCCCCAAACAGATATTTTCCAGTAGCAAGAACGCAGAGGTAGGAGAAGCAACCTCTGGCTTCTACAAGTATTTCTCACATTTGTTCAATTCCAGATGAGAAAGTTTTCAGGTGCTGTGGAGGTACAGACCTACAACACTGATGGTTTAGAAATAATACAGAGATTGGTAGGGCCCAAGACCTCTTCAGAATGGCAGAAGTAAAATGAGAAAAACTTTCTCTCTTTTTTAACAGTGAAATTTTTACAAAAGTGACAGAAAACATTATCATCAACACCTAAGTCTCTCCTGACTGGAATAACAATGATTATTGGTTGGAACATGGTGAAGTAAAACTGGGGAATAGGAAGTTTTAACTGCAGAAAGATAAAGGGATAAAGAATAATGCTCTATGATAATTGCTTTTTTATCCTTTGTACTGTAATTTTATACAGAATAGTTTTAGGGAAAAAAATGGTTTTAGGACTGGTGGAGGTTTCAGAATAGATTTTTTTTAATGCAAGCTATTTGTCTGTGTCTTAAGTACTTCAAAATGATTAACATTAGAAAGGTAGAAGACTTACTTCAAAAAAAGTGCAAAATATTTTATTTCCTTGCACAGGAAATAAAGACAGAACAAAAAGCAAGTTCCCTTGCATTTTTCCTCAGGTTTATCCTGTATGAAATTATAAACAGTTTTGGTGAAGGCTTTGATCTGGAGCAGTTTAAAACAGATTCTCTAAAAACAAGTTCCCGAATCCCCTGGAAGAGATGAATGAACCAAAAAAGTATCAGAAGCTCTGAGGGCCATGCCACTGCTGATTTCATGTCACTACAAAACTTGTCACTTGAAAACACTTTAAAATATGAAACAATGTATCTAAACCTCAAATGTCCATAACTAAACACTCCACTGGAATTTTATTAGCTTTAAAAAGTCAGACAATAACTAGCAAAGTGAAGGAACCCCATTTCCTCCTGTCAGCTCTTTCCAAAAATGTATTACGTTGCTTACTTATTTGTTGTCTCCAAAGTATCAGTGGTTACTTTAAAGTCATGGTCTCCAATGAAAGGTACAAAGTCTGTAATTTCATTTAAATTCAGGATAAAATTGAGTAAAAAATTAAAAATTCTACTACTTTTTTGTTTCCTACTATTTAAAATGAAGATATATTTTTGCCCAAACTGTATTGCACTTCATAGTTCCTCATCAGTTTAATCACACTTTCCATGATTTTCAGTGATATAGTCACAAAATTTCACTATTCTAGCTAATGGTGTTGATCATTTCAGTAAAGTTATTTGCTTAGGAATATAATCGTCAAACTCTGAGTAAAAGGGAGATGATCCTGTGTACCTTTATTTTTTAAATCAACTCCATTTTTAACAGTCTTAATTGACTCTAGTTACTCAAAGAAACCTCATAGTCACATTTTGACTGAAAATTAGTGACAGAAATGCAGGAAATTTTTTACAATGTACTTTGTTTCTTAAAGAAAAACATCTAAAAGTTGGAAAAAATTCACACTAATTTTCAGTTTTAAAACATCCACTGTTTCCTTCTCATATACAATCTAACTCTTTTAAATTATTCCTTTCTGGCACACTGGGGTCTCCGTTTTGTAAAAGTATTCTTTATATACCTGACTAAGGATGGATTGAGACATTAATGAGTCATGCCCATGTTCTGTGGGGGAAGAGGCACAGTGAGCTGTACACTCTGAAGTGCTATTTAATATCACAGAACCATAGAATGGTTTGGGAATATGGGTTGGGATGGAATGGACCTTTAAAGGTCATCTAGTCCAAACCCCCTGCCATGGGCAGGAACATCTTCATTTTGACTGGGTTGCTCAGAGCACCACTCCACCTCCTCTCTTGCCAACTTGTTCCAGCATTTCACCTCCCACACTCTAGAAACTTTCATATCTGACATAAACCAACCCTCCTTCAGTTGAAAACCATGTTCCCCTCTTCCTGTTGCAGCAGGCCCTGGTAATACTTTGTCCTCATCTTCTTTGAGGAGCCCTTTAGGTGCTCGAAGGCTGCTATAAGGTCTTCCCAGATTATTCTCTCAGGATTGTTCAGCCTGGAGAATCATCTCAGCCTTTCCTCATAGGAGAGGTGCTTTGATTCCTCTGATCATCTTGGTGGCCTCCTCTGGACTCACTCCAAGGCCCCTGTCCTTCCTGTGCTGAGGACCCCAGAGCTGGATGCAGTACTGCAGGTGGGGTCTCACGAGTGGAATAGAAGGATGTGCAGTATAAGTTCCCTTCTGTGCATGATTAATGGTACAACACTAAAACACTGTCAGGATCCATGTCTAACTCAATTCCCCACCATTAATAGCAGCAGTAAACTGCTCTATGGTTCTCCCAGTTATTCAATTCCGTGTGCAGTCCCAGCTTTTCCCTGCAATCTTAATTTTTATCAAAAGGTGTACCAAGAGTTCTACCCTAAAATATATTTCTAACTCTTTACAGATCTGATGCTTTGAATACATCTCATTTTCCAAAGTTATTTTTTAAATTGGGTCAACAAACTATCAACAGTTACAAAGTACCTATAGCTTTATCTAGCAGCATTTTCTATTGAAATTGCCATTCTATGGTTACAAAATACAGAATAGGCCTCCTAAGAAATAATGGAATTCAGACTTTCTACACGAACACTGGAAAATGAAGGATAAAAAATTAATATTAAGGCTTCACTAGGTGTGTTAGTCTACTGGTAAATGCTGTAGCATACAAAAAAATACTGTTTATATTGAAGGTACTTATTTTGATACATTACACTGCATTTAATACACTAGAGCTTTTAACCTTACAGTTAGTACTAAAATATAAAGAAAAATACCACTGCTGTTCTTTCTTTACTATGTTTGTAGTTGAGAAAAAGTTGAATTAATATATTTATTGGCTTTTCTGCCTTCATAACTTCTAAAACATCTATTTCAAAACCAACAGAAACAGACGTTACATAAAGCAACTTAAGCCACTGTTCCTTTTTCATGGAAAAATCTAAGTAGGGATTCGTTAGGGAAATTCCTGTCCCCTTCCTCCTTAACACATGTACATGGTAAAGCCAGATAATAATATAATCTTCATGTGTTTTTTTTTAATTTTCCAGGTGAATTTAGAATTTGACATGGCTCCAACATAGATGATATCACAGGCATCAGTTGTTGGACTGACTGTGGAAATTAGTACTGTTAGCATGCATCAGTTACCTGCAAGGGTACTGATGCATGACCAGAAAGGGTACATTCTTCAAGGAGAAAATTGTTCTTTTTCTTCATCTGCTTTTTGTATTCGACATCTACCTCTGTATTCTACAAACTTCTGTTACTTCACAGCTTTCAAACTTTCGCAGCCTTTTAACTGTGAAAAGCTCTGATGACAAAGGCTTTTTAGAAAGCTGCTCTAAGAGACTGGGGCACCGGGAGATGACCCGCCTCAAACTTCACTTGCCTGCTACTAAAGACATGTCCTCAATGGTAAAAACAACACATGGCTTCCAACTTCTGTGTGAAGCAAAGTACTTCTGAATCGTGTGCAAGTCAAATGTGAGCCTTGACACTTCTATCAGGAAGAAAATGTTACATTTTATTATAGAAAAAGCCATTCTCTGTGTACATTAACTAAAAGTATACGAACGTTAAAGAATTTCTTTAAAACTCCATCTCAGTCAGGAACTTATTTGCCAAGCATTACAGGGCAAATTGCTTTTGTAATCTTAGTTCTTTACAATACAGCAGAGAGTTTGATGGAAGAACAGATTTACACTAGCTCATGTAGTTTTCTCAATTCTGTTATTAAAAAAAATTACGTTAATTCGGTAAAAATATTGCAACATACCCAGACTTATTCCCAAATTCAGATTTATACTACCATTTTAAACCTTGCTAAAATAAAAGATTAAAATATTTACTGTATGTGTATTATTATCAGGACAAACAGAATGTCAGTGACATGCATAACGTTTAACATTATTTCAACATTATGCTGAATACAATATGTGCATTCTATTTTAGGAAAGCCTAGAAACCAGTTTGGAAAATAATCTATATTAGTGGATAACTCTGTGACATTGCTGGCATATTCCTAAATGTTTAGGATAGATATGTTTTCTTAATAGTTACTGGTATCTAATTGTATTGCCATTGACAATCAGAACTGAACTACCATGGCAAAAAAAAATTACAACCTAAAATGTTGAGAGCATCCATATCAGTGATATAGTGTGGAAAAATCATTACGATCACTTTATGCCTTTATGTAGGTCACTTCTACAAGAACACAAATGAATTTTATCAAAGAAACACGTATGACACAAATGACATTTAACTATTTTAAGCTGTGCACATATATTGCAAAAGCAAAGGAAAGGCAGGTGCATGCTCACAAAAGCTGCAAACAGCGAGGAATATCATGCATACTGTTCACAACTCACAGGTTATTAGTTAAGCTGTTTGAAAAACAGTTAAGCCTTTTATGCCAAGCATTGCTTTCATTTTAACGACAGTAATTCCCCTTGCCTTCAGTAGGAATTACACCTGTGTAAATGAGAGCAAATGTAGGGCAGAAAATAAGTCGACCATAAAAGAAAAGAATTTTAAACAGAAAAAAGGCTCTAACCACTTTGTCCTCCTGGAGTTCATATCCACGAAAGCAAGAAAGGAAGGATGGAGGGAAAAAAACACAAATAAGGAAAGAGTCATGTCCATTTTGAAAGTAAGCACTTGAATTTTTTAGTAAAATAAACAAATAAATATCAAAGGAAGTAATATATATTTTTCTTATTTTCCCTAGTGGTGAAGGAGATATAGTGAAAAATAAATAATTTTAATAATTTTCATGATCTTTTCATGACTGAAATTGAGATTGTCTTGTAATAAAAAATTGTACCAAAAATGCTCAACGGAAATTATTTTCATAAAAATAATTTGGGAGTCATGTCTGAATTATTTTCACAAAAAAAAGGTCATCTGATCAAAAGGATGCAGCATTTAGCTCATACCTTGGACCCCAGTACTGAAAATGATTAGCATTCATCAATCCTTTGCACTTGCAAGGAGTTCAGTGAAATTAAGAATGTTTGTTTACTACAGACAAATAGAGGGTATTCAAATGGCAAAACTGCAAGTTAGTCACTCAAGAGATCTGTAAAATCCTGGAGTTATAAAGCACAAGGAGACAGAGTTTGTCACAAGTGTTTACTGCATGTCATGCCAGGTCTATGACACATATACTTTCCTTTTCATACCCATCAATATTAAATACAAACATTCCTATTGGCTATTTTCCTTTAAGAAATTGTCTTAGCTGTCAAAATTGTAAATGGAACAATACTTTAAAAAAAATATTAAAAATATTTTTAGTCAAAAATATTCCCTCTTTCACTGAATGAAGAATGATGACTTTTATCTGGTATTTTAAATTGACATGCCAATAAAGAGACTAAATCTAGGCACTTGGTTAAGCATTGGCTGTGCTGGGAATACAACTGCTTACCAAAAAAGGGTGACAACTAATTGTATAGATTATAGTTCTGATACCTGCATGACGTGTAACTTTATAACATGAAACTCTTAGAAAAGGCTTCAATCCTAAAGTTATAAACAAACAGGAGAGAATACAACAGAGGCCAAACAAGACAGTCAGGCAATAAAACACACAATATACAAGGAGAAGCTGAGGCAGATAGGCTTGTTTAGCCTAAAGAAGGCTGGGATAAGGAAGGATGTGGGAAGACAGGAACTACTTGCATCCCTCAACTATTTGAGGTTTAGCAATAGGAAACACAAAGACAGAATTTTCTTGAAGATGTACAGGTAATAATAAACAAAATGCAACAATTAAGAGATTGTATTGCATGTAAGAAAAAAAGAAAATCGCAAGAGCTGTTAATCACTGAAAGAGTTTGTCCAGGGATTCAGTCTCCTAGGAAGTTTTTACAATTCAGTTGAACAAGGTCCTAAAAACCTCATCTGACTTAAAAGTTAATCCTGCATGGAGCAAGAGATTGGTCTGGGAAAACCTCCATGGGTCCCATCTGACCCAATTCATTCTATGATCCTATGTTCAGTGACAAAAGATTAAAGCATTTTAAAGATGCTATGGGTTTTAGTGGTATTCTTAGTTATACAAATAGGAAATAGCATAGGAAGCTATCTAAATCACAGGGCATCCATGCATTATCACTCTATTTGCAGAGACGTATTTTTCTGCTCAGTACCAGGTGGTCTCATGCTTCCCTAGCATGGTTTCCTGTCCACTGCAGTAAGTAAGAAAGTAGTGTTCAGAGACATTTTATATGGAAACATCTACAGCCTTGATTTCTCATCCTCACCTCTGAAGAAATGCACTCTACTATCCAAGAGAATTATAATCCATAAGTATCATTCGAAATCCTGTCATTTATACTTTGATCACAACAGTAACCAAGACTTAATTCACACAATCAGCCTATGTTGAATAACGTCCAGGATTTAGAATCTCTTTTTCAAGAAACAAGCTACAAAATATAAAGATACGTGAAGTTCAAGACATGCCACCACATTTTACCAAACACCTATGACTTCCTCAAACACCTGAGCTTCCTCCACACGCACTGTCAGACATTCCTGAGTTCATAGCAATACACTGCAAGCAATGACATGATTGACAATCTGAAAGACAGCCTAGTCAGGCATTTCAATAGCAAAGACATTAGAAAAATCATTCAATTCAGTTTTCAAAGAACAGGGGTATTTGTTCTGTTCCACATGAAAATGCAGGTATGTTTTAACAGTGGTTTTAAGGAGAAAGGCCTTATCTCTATAAGTATTCAGACACACAGAAATGTTAGCAAAATTAGTGGAACTCCATCCTATATTAAAAAAACCCTAGAATGAGTCAGTATTTATACCTTATCCTTTTTTTTAGAGATCTATTCCAAGGCCAATCTGAAATGTGATTGCATGAGCCAAAGCTAATGTTCAAGACTCTATGTTTTTCACTTTAATTGCCTAAAATTATAAGCCTAGGTAAAACTGTGTGTTCTTCACTGTATCAGGATCATAACAACCTCTAAGTTTTATGAAAGCTTTATAGTGAAGAGTTCAAACATATAGCCTCTGCTGAAATTGAAACCATCATTTGCTGTTTATTGAGATCAAAAGAGCTCTCAAATGTAAATAGTTTCAAATAAATAAAATTAATAACATAAATAGTTTGTGCAGTTTTCATTTGAAGGGACTGATCATATCCACAAAGCTTCTATTAAAATCACAGGGGTTTTTTAATAATCAAGAGAATCCAAAGAATCAGTACAGAAATGCAGATTCTGAATATTAGTTCTGCTAGGTATTAGTTTGCAAGTAAAGTAGTTTGTAAATAAAGTTTACAGACTGAAAAGCAGCAATATCTCTTGGTTCAAAATGGTAGTTTACCAACTGTTTAGAGGAATTCTTTCCTCGTGTTTGCAGTGTTATGCATCTTTTGTAGAGAAATGCAAAAATGCAAACCACATCTCCTGAAGACCAACTAACTTGTACGCAATAACAAATCATGGAGCTTATTCCAAATCCTAGTGACTTAGAAAACCTGATTGTGATTAGAAAACCTGATTGTGACAGACTAATTCTTTGGTGCTTGCTAATTCTCAACAGAATGGAAAGGATTATGCATTACCACAAGTATGCTACAGCTTCGTGTTGCAACTCCATACAGATCGCATTGCAAGTCCTGCAGTTAGAATCATTCAGCAAAGGGAACTTGATGGTTTTTTTCACAATCAAACAATCCCAGGGAAATTATCAGAGTGCAAAGCTTGCACTGAACCGAGGGAACTGAGAGAAGTTCCCTACTTACACCTTATGTGTTTCCCATGTTCGTTTTTGGTCCTATAAAACAACTGAAAATCTCTTACTTTTGTTCTTCAAAGACAAAGAAAGAAGGATGCTTCAGTGGCTCCAAGTGCTAGTAAATTGCCAAATACCCTGAAAGAAGGCATTCAGCATGCATTAAGTTAACTTTGAAGACAAGCATTTTTTCCTTTCTGTACAGGCAAAAGACTGGTTTAGTGAACTGCCATTCTGAGGTGCTAAAATTTATATTCACTGCACAAAATGTTGTACCAAATCTGGAGGCTGTATTTTTCCAACATTTTAGCATTTAGATTTCTCACCTGCATCAACCTTATTCTCCTGTCTACTGACTCATTCAATGTGCATTTCGCTATATAAATTAGTATATTATTAAAAAAAGGAGTATATTTTATATATCAGTGATACTCTTATTACTAAGAACTATTACTGCTTGCTCTCACATGATTTATTATTTAAACTTTAACAAATCTGAAACTGTTCATAAACATAAAAGATGACTGTTCAAGATTTTTTTACTCCCTTGAAATATAACCCTCATTTAGCTAAATACACCGTTCACCAAGATAATAAATTGTACAGAAGAAGTGCTACCATTATAATTTTTATTTGTTTGAGCTAGAAGGAACTCCCACATAATGATAATTTTTGTACAGCTTGAACTAAATGCTAATGCCTATATATTTTAGGCACTTTAATGAAACTAAAAAAGGAATAAATCATCAAAACATTTTGAGAATCCTAATCTAATGGTCTGGCAACAGTCAAAACATTTCCACTCCCTGCTCCTACTCATGGCCATGAAACTTGTAAGCAGTAGTCAGCCTTGAGACTTTTGAAAGAGGAGTATTCTTTGCAATTCTCCATCATCTGAGGTGCATGCTGCTAATACTGGTCTGTACTAAAAAATTTAGGAGGAGAATCTGGATTAAACGGAAGGAGTTTAGCTTGAAACTTGATATTATGAAGTTCCATCAAAGAATGATCCATCAAAGAATGGATCATTAATTAAGCAGATCCATCAAAGAATGTTTCAGACAGTATAAGTATCACTTTATGTAAGGTCAAAGCAGACATATGTGTGTGTATATATATATACATATATATATATATATATATATATGAAGTGTCAAAAAAAAAAAATGTCTACAAAACCACAAAAATTTAAAATAGGAAGTTATTAGAAGTCATCCTTCAAGAAACTGAAGTTGTATTTAGAAAAGAGGAAAGATAAGAATAGATAAGAATGAATTCTGGTAGACCAAAATAGTTTTCATAGAATAATCAGTGTAGGCATAAAGCAGGGAGACTGCCAGACTGCCACAGTATTATTAGGAAGGTATTTACTCTAGAATATTATTTTATGCAGAATAAACTGGAGGACATACTTTGAACTGATATTTCAGAAAGAGAAGCTGTAAAGGGAGTCAACAAAAAAAAAAAACATATTTTTTAAATTACATTATTGTTAGTGTAACGCATCTCCAGTCTAAAATAATTAGTAACTGTAATATAGTCTTTCACTGATAAGAAGTATAAAAGCTGGAAAAAAATATCAAGATATTTTTAAGGAATTTCAACATTATATAAATGGAAGAATAGACAAATAAGTCTGACATCCACATTTGACAGATTTTTAGAAACCCAAATACACAATGAAATTAGCAAGCATATGAATAAATTATGATAAAATGTGGAGAAGTCAGAATGCGTTTAGTAGAGGGAATTCACATCTGTTACATGTATTAGAGTTCTTTTAAGGAGTCACAGAGAAAGTGAGAAAATGGGATTTATTCCTACTGCTCAGTTGGGATTACAGGCTTCTAAAGAATCTCAGCTGTCATGGAATAGGAATAAATTCATCCATGAGAAAACTTAATTAATGAAAGGACAAGAAAAAAACCTGGAATAAATTATCAGGGTTTTTTTTAAGCAAAAGTTTTCACCAGCAAAGCCCCACAGGAGATTAGTCTAGAGATAGTCTGTTCACCTTATTCATAAAATATCTAGAACAAAAATAAATGAGGTGCAGGAAAGCCTCACACTAAGTTAGCAAAAGTAATTGAAGAAGATGCCAGCTGAGGAGTGCTGCAGAACAGTCTCAGACTGAATGGAGAAGCTGACTTACTGAAAGACAGATTTGGGTTAGACAGTAAGAAAAGCTATCTGTGGTGAGCATGGTGAAGCAGTGGAATTTCATAAGACTCTGTGGAAGAATCTCATTGGAAATCTGTCAAGAGAAGTCAGACATATATCTCTCTGTCAAGTTCAAATGATCCATTTCAAGGAGAATCTAAATGGTGTATCAGAATGTGTCATTAGGAAATGAAGCATTTTTCCTAATGCTATGTTTGGAAGGATGTAGGCATAATGACTCAAATATCTGTCCTAATTGGCTTTTGTAATCAGATGAAATGAATACAGAAATTATCTCTCTTATTACTAGCAACATGACTTAGTCAGTCATTTAAAAAAACAAATAAAATGTATAAGCCTACTTAAGGCAGCATTTTTAAGTTACCGTAATGAAAACCAAGGCAATTTGACACATTTACACATAATCTCAGTTACTTTAATTATCAGGAACTATTATTGAATTTTTATATTTTTTATTGTTTTATACTTTGTTAATCAAAAACTTCAGACCATTATTTAAACCACTTTTCAGTCTTAGGACAAGAAACACATAACATGCATACTATTGTCTCCTACCTTACAAAAGATAGTATTTACCAATTGCATGGTATTTGCAATGAGCATATTACTGAAAAAATTTGACTTATGTAAATAAATTATATAAAAAATATTACCTGAATAAGCATTAAAATAATGAAATTGTATTGTTTACAAAATACGTCTTTTCAAAAAAGACTAGCATAATACTTCTTGAATTCTGCCATGTATCTTCTACAAGTATCTGTCAGAATCTGAGAAAGATTCTGCATATCAGATCTGAACATTTTATCTAAAATGTTGAGTAATATGATCTCAGAAGAGTTTTTTGTGATTACATCAGTTGTGCTGAATTTTTTACTCTATCCTTCAGCTTTTTTAAGAATTCAGACTGCTGGTTTACCATTTGTTATACAAGAAACACCAGCATATACAGAACAATATATGTTAGTGCATTTAATTATTTCCCAGAAATAGGTTAACATTTGCATGTGTATGCACATATAAATATTCATAATACATGTGGAGATACGTACAATTGCTAATAAATATTTTAAAGCACTATATTATATTATATACAATGTTCTAGCACTAATTTTACAGTAATCTTGTACAGAAGAAACTAGGGAAGCAGGAAAGAAACAAATCCTTGCTCTACTTTGTAATAATCAATATCTAAATATTAGCATCACTAGATCACTAGATATACTTCTGTTTCTCAAATAGAGACTCATCCTCCAATCAAAGAAATGTACTTGCATGAGTTTGTTAGTCAAAAAAGGATATGTATTAACTTAAAAACCATAATCACAAATTCATATGCAATTGGAAATTACTGGAAATGAGGACAGATATCTTCAAAGTCCCTGGAGAAGATGGAAATCTGTTTCAGTAGTTATGTGATTTGGATTCCTAAGCAATGGGTAAGAGACCCTGAGTTCAGGAGAAGCCTGCTGTTCACTCTCACAGCTCCATACCTTGTTGGACCGCAGAGACACTCTTCCTCCGCAGCGCGCGCAGAATTTCGTTTGGCAATAGGAACAGTTATGGCCACAGCCATCAGCAAATTTGGTTTTGTGGCAGATGCCACAGGTTGGGGCATCACCCTTCTGCTCCTGGTGCTGCTGTGATTCTTCACCCATCTTCTTCACTTGCTCCTTATACATCTCAAACTGCTGATGTAATTTTCTGCAGAAGAGAAGAGATCATTAGTTGTGGGTTACTTTTGCCCACAAATACTTCAGTCACTAAACGTGAATGTAATCATTTTTACAAATCAGAGAGAAATACTGTAGTAAAGCAAATATATTTAATTTATTATGTTCCAGAAGTATTACAATCAAGAATTACTTCTTTTTCATTATAACTAAACTCTATGAGGAAGCTCAACATTGACAACACTGAGTTAACAGTCCAGTTGATACAAAGAGATGTAACTTTTCTTTAGGATGGGACCAGATATTTGCTACAAATACAAAAGCTGGAAACACAGGATAAGTAATAAAGATAAGTGATAAGCCCATGATGCTAAACAATAAACTGGCAAAAGGAGAGGGAAAAATCTAATTAATTCTTTAAAGTGTACTTCTATCTAATTCCACCAGATAGATGCAAATACCTTTTCTTGATCTAGCTTATCTTCATTTATCTAACAATACTGCATAGAATGATGATTCCAAAATGATTTTCAATCGTCAGGTTTAATAATAAGTTACCTCATATTAACAAATTATTATAAATCATTTAAGCCATTCATATCCTTGGATAGGAACTGTTATCTCATGTAAAATGTAAAGTAGGAGACAGCCTTAAGTGTAAAATCCAGGAAAAATTGCTTAAGATACACACATACATTTACCATCTATTTCCAGAACTAGAAACAAATGCAGTCAGTGGCCATGAGTGTCCAGAACTGCAATGTTAATTCATCATGTTAATTCATCCATATTTCTGAGTCTACAATCATCAAATCTCGATACATGATAATGGGAAGTGTCTCATGCTGACCAAACCTAGAGACACATTTAATGCTCTATACTGGTAGTTTTTCTCAAAAGCTCTACTTCTAAAGGTAAATGATGTCATGGGAAATTTAATTTTCATTATAAATAGCCATAATATTTTAGCTTTTGCAGATTCTGAAAAAGATGAGAAGGGTGACATTGCATATCACAAGAGTTTCAAACTCATACAGGAAAAAAAAAAGAACTTTGACTCCTCTCTTTTTTCTAATAGGGGTATGAACAGTGATATTTAAATTCTTAGCATGGAATTCAACTTGCCTAATTTTGCAATCGAGACTGTAAAGTTTAGTAAATTATAAGTTATTAATCCAATTTAGGCAGATTTTTTAGTTCCTTGAATAAGTTCAGGCAAAACCCAAAAAATAAGCACTTTTTATGAAACATTAAAAAGGTAACATAAGACAAAAAAATTGCAAAAGACATTTCTTTTTCCTTAGAATTATTCTTCTCAAGAATCTTGAAATTAAGTTAATAAAAAACACACATGAATCATAAGATGGAACAAAAAATATCCTCCTAGAAAACAACTAAATCCAGGAGACCAACTTCCTTAAGCATAAATGTATCATTTATATAGTTCACATATAAATTAATGATGCAAAACTATTTCATCAGAATTTTCAGAGGCCCCTACCAAAACAAATATTACACAAGTCAGTTAAAAATTAACTTAAGCAGTTATTTACTATGGATATTCACACATATGGCAAGAATTGTTGGAATTCCCTTTGTTTTTCAGGAAAACTCCCCTAAGAATGTACTTTACATTGGACCACAGAGGAATTGTAGCAGCAGGCAGGCAGCTCCCTCTCTCCAGCAGGAAGGACAGAAGGATGGAGTTATTCTTGTCCTCTGTACTAACCTGCTGCCTGAGCTCCCAGCTGCCACCGACCCTTTCCCAGGAAGAGGGAATGAGGTTACTTCATTTGCTTATGTGTCATTTTTCTGTGTACCTGCTCTTGTCATTTCAAGATCAATCCTGAGTCCAGCAGTGTGGACTCCCAGCAGCAGTGGCTCCTTTTTCCCCTCATTTTCAGCCCTTTCCCACCTGCACCAGCAGGGAGAGGGGCTCATCTGGGACCTCATCGGGAGGGATGGCAGAGTTGGCATTGCCCTAAAAGCCTTTTGGGCAGTCAGGAGTAAGGGGCTTCCTCTGCCTTCTCCCTGCTTCCAAAGAGCTCCCTGTTGTGTGCTCTTTGTTGAATGGGGCAGAACAAGAGTTACTAACAAGCAAGAGCTGAATGAAGTTGAAAAAAAATTTGGAAGTCTGGAAACCTGGCACTTTTCAGCATTTTACACTGACAACACTATATAATTGGTAGTTGGTAGTCTGGCCTGTTTCCATCAATAACACATGTAATCTCTGAGACCTTGCCTGCCTTTTAATTTTGCTTAACACTGCATTCTTCATTTAAAGCATATTATCTATGCTGAACTCCAAGTTTATTTTTAGGCTGCATTCAGTTTTGTGGCTTCCTTATAATCTACAGCCTTTGTTTGTATGATTACTTGCTTACCAGTCTCACTGATGCATAAAAAGCACAAGGCTTTTGCCAAATCTTAAGCCTCATGTACTGAAATAATTTCACTTGTGTTTCCTCTTGGGCACAAGAATCTATGTAAAGGTCATAACTTTTCCTTTAAAGTATAAACTTTCCAAGGTTATACAGAGTAGTTTTCCAAAATCCTTGTTCTAGTAGGAAACATATCATCTGCCAAAATTGTTCCTTATTACATCTTTTTCTGTTTTAAGAAAAATATTACGTCTATTGATAGCTGTCAGAAAAAATTTAACAAAGACAAGAATCTAGGAAATATTCAGTTAGACACAATATGTGTTCTATTTACTAAGCAGAACCACCTGAGATGAATACACGTACTCAAAACAAAATACAGAGTATTCATTTTAGGAATTTCATTTAAAAAATTTTGATCTATTTTGTAGATAAATAATTTTTTTTTTTATCATCTAGCCTGCATAGGTTTAAACCAAAATTTAACCTAAAACCACACAGCAATAATTAGATGTTTAGAAAAGCACAGTATCAGAAACACATGCAAAATAAAATTCCATTTTGTTCAAACTGTCTGCAGTCATTGCTGCCTGACGGGCTCAGAAGTTCACTTACGAGGGAAATTAAAGCAACCAGTACCAAGGCAAACTTCAGAGACTGAAAGCAAACCCAAGTATCCCAAGACTACAATTTCCAGTCCTGATATCCAGTGAATTACTCTGTTAATGCAAGAGGTCACGAGCCATCCATGATAGGCTAGGTTGGAATAAACTTTTAAGATCATTGAGTCCAACTGTTCACCCAACACTGCCAAGGTCACTGCTGATTTATAACCCCAAATGCCACATCCACACATCTTTTAAATACCTCCAGGGATGGTGACTCAAACACTGCCCTGAACAGCCTGTCCTAATGCTTGAAAACCCTTTCCATGAAGAATTTTTTTCTTAATATCCAATCTACACCTCCACTGGTGCAACTAGAATCCATTTCCTCTCATCCAACCACTGGTTACCTGAGAGAAGAGCGTGATCCACACATGGCTGCACCCTCCTTTCAGGCAGAGAGCAATAAGGTCACCCCTGAGCTTCTTTTTCTTCAGGCTAAACAACCCCTGCGCCCTCAGCTGCTCCTCATGGGACTCCAGACCCTTCACCAAACTCATTGCCCTTCTCTGGACACACTTCACCACCTCAATGTCTTTCTAGCAGTGAAAAAATGGGTTCTGCCCAAGAGTTGTATTTCGGGCCAAAATTTTATCCACAATGAAAAGACTTATTTTTTGACATGAGAAGGACTTTTTTTGTTTGTAAATCCAGATAATGATATTAAATCATAATTAACAGCTAATTTAAGTAGAAAACTCAGAAATGCATATCCATGACCCTTATATAAGTGCATTTTGGCAATGGCCCCTATAGCACATACTATCTATCTGTACTGATGCAAAGTCTCACTCCTTTACTACATTTGTTTCAAAAATACAAGTATGCACTTTAACAACTTCCATAAATTTTAGAGATTTTAGAGGAAAAGGAGAAGATGGCATGAGTTTACACAGACACCTAATGATACTGAAAATTTAGTCTGAGAAACTGGTAATTAAGTTCTGTTCTTGTGAGAATTACTTCCCTGAACGATACTTGTATCAGCTGGAAGTCACAGTGGTGAAGTTCATGAGGTTTATATGACTAGACAAGTTTGGGGTTTTTTAAATAACATATCCAAGATAACTTCATAGAAGATATCGCAGTGTGAAAAGCAACTGCTTGTAAGAATTTGGATTGCTCTGCCAGAGTCAAGATATAGCTTGTATTGGAATACTTGCTTTGTTCTGGAATGGAGTTAATTTAATTCTGCTTTTCCTGATTGCCCACACCTTTCCAGAAATGAAAATTTCAATATCAGTCAAAAAGAAGCAAAATGTGAGTCTCTCCTGATCCATGCCAAAGGCAAGTAAGAAATTCAAGTTTGTTATTGACATTTTATTACTGTACAGAAATTTTAATTTTCTCCTCCCCTCCAGAAATATCCCTAAAACTTTCAGCATTTTACCAAAACTTAAAAAAAATTACTGACAAGAAGTTCTCAAACTATGCCTGCCTTCCAAAAGTTCACATAAATGTTTCTGAAATTTCTAAATCTGCTAAAAATCTACCACTAGAAGGGCAACTGTTAAGAAAGAATCCAGGATGTTTAGGCCAGATGTAAGTGTGGAAGCCACTTCTCATTTCCTCATTTCTCTCTCAAAGTTTTATTACAGATGTAGCACTTGCCTCATTTCATATTCCCAGGCACAGAGCACGGATGTGGCTTTAATCCAGCTTCAAAAAGGGTTTGTTCACTTTCACTTCTGCCAAGTACATTCATTTAACAATTTTTCTGCTGGTGGCAATGACTGGTAGCATATGACATTTTCCCTGTACTGTACTCTTGAAGTTCCCGCTTTTACAAGTGTGCCAGCTAACCTGACACTGCCTACACCCACTTAATGGATATTACACTTATATATATAACCCCATGTGTTGGTAGAGGTTGGGAAACAGCAGGCTGAACAGCAGTTCTGCTGATAAGAACCCCTGGAAAATAGGGTGGGAACCAGGCAATGAGCCAGTGCTCTGTGTGCTTGCATTACAAATTGGACAAATTA